TCCCTGTACCTCTAGGATTGTGTAGGAACTTACAAATTGAGAATCGGAATCCCAGATACTCCGAGTCAATGATTCTGGGGTTAGGCGAACCAATCATCGTCCGATCGTGCGACTGGCTTAGATCCGACCTCTCGATTGAGACCAAACCTTCGGGACTTGTTTAGTAGACTTTGTCGGTTGGACTTATAGGAACTTTTGGATCGAAAATAGGAGGTTCTAGACCCTGCGGGCCTAATTGACCTAGATGGTGGGCTTCATCAGCCCGATCGGGACGAATTGGTTAGGAGGTGTTTATGGTTTGGTTTTTTTATTTTAAAATGGTTTTATGCTCCAAGACCAATACACACAATATCTTCTCTATATGTAGAGAATGATGAGGTCTCAAGTCATTGAGTGTAGTGACACAAAGATATATGTGTAGATACTTGCAGGAGAACAAGTACACTGAACATGATCAAATACATGAGTTCTAGAATAGAATTCTTTGCTCACATGTCAAACTAGAACTCATAGATTGCAACGGTGCAAATTAATCCTTAGACCTGAGACATCATAAATATCTTATGGCTATGTTGTTTGTCTTTGAGAACACTATACAATTGTGTTGAAGAAGATATGACTTAAAGGTGTTTATCAGGACTCTCAATAAAGTTGTGGAGGCAACTGAATGTACAACAAGGGATCTCTACTTTTAGTTTAGAGAGTGAATACTCTGAAAATATGATTGATCAAATCTTTGCGCAAAGTTGTACATAAGATTTGAAAGAAGTGGTCTTCAAATCTTATCAGGATAATCATATAAAGGAATAATTCACATTAGAATATTTGACATTAGATTCCTTTATCTAATAATGTGAATAAGGAGTATTGTATAAAAGAATGATTCAATTGCACGATCATTCCAATTTGAATAGGTTCTTCCCTATACCCTATTTAGCTTGAATAACCATGACATGCTGCTAGGCGTCAACCATGGTTTGTGGAAGTCCAGAAAGGATCAAACTTAATTGACCTTCTCCAATAGGAAGAATTAAATAGTGAGATTTAATTCACAAGTCAACTCAGAGAAATTGAGCCTACCCACTACCTTGCTAAAAGAAACCTATCGAAAAATGAGATTAGAGGAACAAATGAAGAGAAAAGAAACTAGGAGTTAAAAGTCAACGGTCAAGTCAAAGTCACCATGTTTGACGAAGCAATTGACCAAGTCAAATGGTTTGACTGAGTCAACTAGTTTGACCGAGTCAAATAAGTAAGACTATAATAGTGATTTAAAAGTTAAATCATAAATCATAATTAAGAGTTAATTATAGAATAAACTTTGACATAAAGAAAAGGATTGGACATTCAAATATGATTTAAAAGCAAAAGGCAAAATACCCAAAAGCCTATTGCGCTCAAGCATAAGTGTTGTATGACAACACAAATCCAAGGACCCAAGCCAAGCCCATCTTTTCTAGTGGTCAGCCATAAGGAGAGGATTTCTCTCATTTCCCTTTGTGTGCTTTTTTCCTATAAAAGCCAAGATGACTCAAAACCTAGTTAGGGTTTTTTTGGCATTCCATTGTGGTGTATTGATGTGTAGGTGAGATATCCTCCCTCTCATCTTCCTTACCCAAAAATCCGACCAACCTAGAGGAAGTCTAGCATCTAAGTCTTCTAGGTTGATTTCTCTTCATCTCCAGTCCATTTTGGTGTGGTGAGGTAGAATGCTTCTACTTTGAGCCTCTTGGTTGAGGAATCTACATTCTAAGAGGAGATTAAAGGCCTTTCCAACAAAGTGATCATTCTTAGTTCTCCAAGAAAAGGGTACAAGGGTAAATGTTTAAACCTTTCCTCTCTTCTATTTTGTGCTCAAAGAGACTAGATCACAAGATACTTGAGATAAATGAAAAAGGCTTAACTCAACTAAAATAAGCAAATTAATCCACCATTATGAATGTTTTTGTGAGATATGTTGTAGGTAAATTCATTTCCAAGAAAAAAATATTTGTTTCCTTCATTCCATGCCCCAATTAGCATGATCAAGAGCATTGATTAAGAGAATGATTGTATTGCGTGATAATTTCAACTGAATAGGTTCACAACCCCATTCTATATTGGCCTTAGGCAACTGTGACTTGTTGGTAGACGTCACTTTTTTTTTTTTTTTTTTTTTTTTTTTGGAAAAAAGGAGTTTTAATTCAAAATTGATCAATAAAGAGTTTTGAATCGCCCACTACCTTGCCGATTAGAACCTAATGGATCGCACACCAATAAGGTTAGATGAAAGAAAATAAATATGATGTGCATAGACTTATTAATTTAATAGAGATTGAATTAACTAAGATAATGCGGTAAAAGAGTAGTTTGGGCCTAAACTATAAAATCGGGTTCAAGGCCCATTGGGCTTGGACCCATTGGGTTAGTTAAGACACGTGGGCGTAGTGGGATGACCACATAAGCCCAATGGGCCCAATAAAGACCCTATGGCTGGTTTTACTTAGAGGGAGACTTAGGTCTCCTTCTTGTGGGTCTATATATGTGAACTTTGTCTCTTGAGAAAAGTTAGGATTTTTGAGCTAATTTCAAGAGAGGAGTAAGAACACCATCAAGCTCCTCCCACCTAGCCAAAAATCGGTCACCTTAGGAAGTAGGCACTAGCATCCTTTCCTTTCTAAGTTGTATCATATCCTCCATCTTCCTTGGTGTGGAAAAGTTAGAGATCACCTCTATTGGTGATTTGGTGAATCTACAAGGCCTTCCATAAGGTGATGAACTCAAAGGTGTCGACCTTGATGTTTCAAGGGTAAAGTTTCTACTCCCTCTTTCTCTTAGTCTAGAATGTCTAGGAATGAAACAATCTAAACCAAGCTTCAAGATACTTCAGGTTAGTTATGTTATAGCTCTAAGATTAAATTTTAAAGTTTCTATTGCCTAAAAGTTAATTGTAACCTTATCTTTGTGGCTAAATATAACTAGGATCTAATGTTTCCTTCAAGGTCAAGCCCACAAGTCCAAACAAGAGCCACCAAGTGGCCCATTCCAAACTAATCTATTGGATATGGAATGGACAAGACTTATACAGACTGGAGATGTTCTAATCTTCAAATGTGGGAATACAAATCTCAACTCAAACTTTCTTTCCCAAGCCAACATTTACTGGGTAGGATTAGGGTGGGCATCTTATCTAAAAAATTCATGCACCAACCATACGACATCGACAGTTTGGTTAAATTATTATTTTTATTAAAAAATTTACCCGATTAAATCCGAACCGAAAATATAGTTAGAAGATCGGATGGGAATATCTCTTAATGATGAAATCACCTACGAAACCGAATGTTTCAATTAATTTACTATTTAATTCTTTATCCATGTGTCAACAAGTGGCGGAAAAAAAAAAAAAAAAAAAAAAAAAAAAAAAACTCTTTGATTCTCAATTGCATTCATATGAAATATGTGTTGGCGAGTCTTTAGTTAGGATTTTAGTTCCTTATTTAGTTAGAATTTTGGTTACTTCCAATTATTATTTAGTCCTATTGTAATAGAGATTTATTTCCAATTGTAATTTAGATATATTTCCTATTTTATTTAGGGTTAACACATCTTTGTATTTGTATAAATACCTCTATATTGGAGAAAAATAATAATATGAACATATCTGAGCATATCCGAATATTTGCCATACTTTGTTTGATTATATTTATTTTTTCACTTTCATTGTTGATTTAATCATGTAGAAGGGTAGAGCAAGTGAGCACTACTATATCTTGAGTGGTATAGTTAATTAATCACCATGTTTTATCTCAAATAACATGCACAAGTTTAATATAGTTTATATTTATTGTTGACTTTATTTTTCTTCGGCTGCAGTAGATGGGCATTTGGATTGAAAATTAATAGGCATCTATGATTTTATGAAGCCTTGGATTGAATATTGATAGGCCTCTCGGTTATTTTCCTACTGTATTTCTTTTCATTGTTGTTGTTTGTAATTTGCAGCTATTACTCACTCTTTGAAACTTTAAAACTAATTTTATGTTGGTTTCTAACATTATTTGCTATTTTATTATGTATTTTTCATGTTGGTCTCCAACTTCGAAACTTTTTTTTTTCTTAGTAAGAAAAAATTGGACTACATAAGTTTTACTCAGATAATTTTGAGTATTTGTTCAAGAACTTATGTTATTTGAAATGGTTATAAATTGTATTTTTTATTACCTAATTAGTATGTCTTTTTTTGGTTTTTAAACGGTACTGTCAGCCTATCAAACCAACTCGAACCAGACTATCTAGTAACTAACCGTTCGCAGCAGAGTTCATGAATATGCCTAAGCCTAGATGGTGGTTAACGGATTGAGCCATCTACCATTCGGACTCGTGCCTAAGCCTAGGTAGAATAATTAGCAGAGGGGTAAAAAGGGAAAACAAAAGTTCTTATTTATGAAGGCAGTTAGACTCAACCTGAAAACTGAGCCCACCTTGTCCAACTCAAATGTGAAAAGAAACAGAAGAAACAAAAAATACATAATTGAACTTTGAGTTTTACATAGTCAAACAGTCAAACTAGTACAAGCTTCACGCTACTTTTGCCTATCACACTAATCCGTCTTGAGGAAGCTTTGTTTGAGATTACTTGTTGCTATAAAAACCTCGGAGGTCTCTGTTAAGTTCTTCCATCAAAATGAGAACTTTTGGGCAGTTTACAGTGAAGGAATTACGTTAGAGGAGAAGCTGTATGTGAGAGTTGGAGGCAAGTTTCCTTTTTTAAAATTGTATTTATTTTTATCTCCAGCACTGTGTAATGAATGCAAAATTCCCACTGAGAAGAATATCAAGCAAGGCAGCACCATCAATGTAGAACTCAGACAGGCGACGGCTATGGTATATTAACAAACCATTCGCAGCAGAGTTCATGAATGTGAGCAAAGCAACAACATTATTCGCACTTTTACTTAGTAAAACTGTGGTCATCGCCGGTTAAACTAGGAACTTAGCAAGCCTATATATCCGTTGCTTCAGGTGTGCGACAAAGCAACCCACTTTCCATCACTCATGGGCAGCACAGTGATTCCCTCTGGAAATTTCATATCCGGCTTGTATGGATAAACAGAAACCTTGTTATACATGCTCCCTTTTGCTGGTGGCTCAAGAGTAGAGTCCATAGCTAAGTTAGTGGAGCCATCAGAAGGCAAAGTTGAAGAAGAGCCATTTCGGGACATAGAGAGGCTATAATTGTTTGACTCCTGAGCACGGCCATACAAAATATCAGAAGAAGAGAATCCACTGCTTGTCGTAAGGGCATCAGGTCGTGAAGATACTGTGGTAGGATGATGATGATGACTGTTCCCTTCTGCAGTTACTGCCATCAAAGAAGATAATGCCAATGATTTAAAAATTTAAGTTCTATGTAATACAGATTATTATTTTTATGGAGTACATAAAAAAACAAGGGGGAATATCAACATCTACTTTTATCAATCTTCATATCGTATTTCAATTCTGAGCTAAACCTGTGCCGAAATGATGCCATGATTTTCTGTGATGGGTGTGGGCTCTTCTATATATACATACATACATACATACATACATATATATATATGTATACATCTTTGTGTCAACAGGAGACAATAAGGATGATTCTTTATATTAAGAAACTGAATTTTTAGCGAGAAGTCCTGCACTGCAAAGTCAACAGAGGGCACTTCACTAATAGTACCTCTTACAGCACTGATTTAAAGAGAGATAGACGTTGTAATATGAGATACTATCACCAGACATCGAAATGAGATATTGAGATACCACTTCTGATGCAGTGAGGAAGGTTTTACTTTAGTGCTGTCTTTTAGATTCTAATTTCCAGGTACATCATGTTTTTTTAAGGAATTTACACATTTTAACACATTTTATGAACTCCATAGGGAATTTGCTTTTCTGTTGGCTTTTACTTTTATTAGCTTTTCACCAATTGATGCTTGTTTGCATCTGAGCACTTCATGCCATAGCAGTTCCAAAGTATACATACGTATCCCAAAATCTTGAGCCAACACTCAATAACTCAGTTTTCTGGAATTATATTTTCAGCATCTATACGTGACAGCGATGTATACCACATGTTGTTGAATAAACTGTATATAATTTGAATATTTTCTTTCCTCCAACACAATAGTTTGAATGAATGAGAGACAGACTGGAACATTCTTTGTGAGTGAAGTTATATGGAACAAATATATCAGATAAAGAACGTCAAAAAAATATATCAATTAAGCAAAAGGTAAATATTAATATTTTCACAACACAAATTCAAGTTGCAGGATAAAAAAGAGTAATTGCTATTCTCCTTATAACTAGAGCTCCTATAGACATTTGAAACCTTGGTTTAAAAATATGTCATCTCTAGCTATCTGTTTAAGGCATCCTCTTATATCTTAGATGTAACCATATATGCTCGAATAGATTGTACATCTTCGTGTTAAACATCATATCATCATATAGATATAGTGCCCGGATTTAAAAGAATTTAACAATGAAGGACATGATCCCATCAAAGACATCACGAGACGTTAAGACAACGATAGTATAGAAATAGGCTTTAGGAAAACAAAAGAGCTTATGGGGGAAAAACAATACCACTATTCTCCATCATCTGATCCCCAGTAATCGTACTCAGACTTATGATCATGGGGGCGTTAGGCCTAACTTCTTGTAAATCAGTAGCTAGGTTTGACTGAAAGCTTGAAGATAAGATATCTGGCGCTTCTAGCCCCTTCTGAGCAGGGGGCAGGACCAAAGGGATCTTACTTGACTTACCTGAATGAGTGTGAGGATGTGTAAGTTTTTATTTCCCTAGATCATCAGATATTATTTTTGAATTAAAAAGGTCTTACTATGCACATCATGTGATGGCATTATTTCATAAAATAATTACTGAAAATAAACATGAAACTGAAAGAACTCCGTAAAACTATAGGAAATATATCGCATGTACTTTGACTAACAAATGAATTGAGGAAACAAATTTACATAAATGATGATATTAATTTTTATTTTATTTTATAAGAAATACAACTTTATTAGATAAAAGAATTGAAGAATCCTAATAAATTACAAAGAGTATAAATACCCTGGGGTTAACACAAATTTGGAGCTAGTAAGTTGAAGAAAAATAAGCTTACGCTCTCTCAAGGTATGGTAAGCAACCTTTGCCGCACTCATCTCTGCCTGCTTCTTGCTTCTTGCTTCTGAACCTGTAAAAGTTTCTCCTTCTATCTCCACAGTTGAAACAAAAATTGGCATATGAACTGCGCCAGAATTCTTTGTGCTATAGACTGGCATAGAAAAACCTTCTTTCTGGATTAATTCTTGTAAAACGTTTTTGTATAAAACAATATCATCCTAGGGAAGGAAAAAGAGAACCACAAAGACACGAAATATATTTAGAGATGCTCAATACTATCAGAATATGGGAAAATTATGCAGAGAATATAAATAAAATTGGCCACCTCTTGTACTCCATTTGGCAACAGGGACATCAAAGCAACTTTTGCAACTGCATGTTCAGCTTCCTTCATTGTAGGAAGAAACTCTGGACCCTCATAGGTATGTTCATCAACTGTTACTGTACACTTGAAACGATTGGCATGAGGCAGACCTTCCCGCTCACAACTGTACACAGGTAGAAGAAGATTTCTCTTTTGTGCATAAGTCTGCAGTTGGTTCTTGTATAAATGCTGTATATCTACACCCCATATTGAAAGATTATAAGTTGTTTGTCATTCAATAACTTTTTGATAATCAAGACAAAGTTCAAACTATGTGCAGATGACAGGGAGTTTAAGGCATTATATACTTTATGTGCCATTTCTTTTTCTCACATCCTTCAAACTCTGAGTATAATTTCAACAGTTTCTAAAAAGCTAGCTCTACTATTAAGATGAAAATTGTTATTTGGGGGCTCAGTTCATACAATCATTAATAGTAAAGAGAATGTGTCCAGAGAAAATTTTCTAACCTCTCAATCGATTACCATCTTCAATACCCGATGTGCTGCCATTCGCCTGAGAATTGCCACCTGATGCTATACCACTGAACTGAACTGGCACGTAAGAAGTTTCATGTGTTTCTTGAATCTTTGGTTGCAATGTCTGTTTTGTGTCATGTGTACCAGTCAAATTGGTGCCCGCTGTTGAAGGAAGTGCTGGAATAATACAACCCATAAGATATATGAACTGATTCTTATGAGATCACATCAAGACAAAATTAATGGTCATAGTATGTCATTAATATTTCAACTTGATAATATATGAATTAAAAGCTTTTCTTTCAAAAGATGCAATAAGGAATCCACAAAATAAACTAATAGAAACTCAGGGTACTAAATATCCTTAAAAGTGCGGCAATATTATAAATGGTAATAAGATATCAAAAGGTTTCGACACACGAGCTTACTCACTCAAATATAACTTATAGGTTTTCAATCCTTCTTATGTCTGGTCATCCATATTTTTGTTAAAGTCTGGATTTCCCATTTTAGTCTTTGGATACATCAAACGGCTGCCTGATACAAAACCTGTTTTAAGAAAAATATTTAGCACATCAACTGACTGCCAAAAACTATATCTCTTCCATGTAAACCCAATGCATCTAAAGCCATTGGATGTATCTAAGGCTAAACTAGGAAGTCTTGGACTTTAACAAGCACCAAGATGAACAGATGCTCGGACGTGAGAAGGTTGTATATATTTTAGTATTTTTTTCCTATATATATAGTCCACAACCCTCCTACAGGTTCTGTGTGGAACCAAGTTGTTTATAAGCAACTCTGTGTTTTGGCTAGTTTTAATAACTTGAAACATACTAATGCTCCACACAAACTATCTACATCTATACTACTTAGCACAACTAAATTCCCTTATGGAAAACTGTTGTTTTAGAATTGTTGCATGTCTTACAACAAATATTCACCACATTCATCATATTACTCGATTGATTAACAGTCTGAGATCACTTCTATTCCCTTAAGGAAAACTGTTGTTTTAGACTTGTTGCATATGATGGGACCTAAAGCTCTGTAAACTAGCGTTAAAACGCCTTTTATCCTTGTTTCAAGAAAAGCATAAGGAACGTTTCCCCCCTTCACGCCTCTCTCCTTTCAGTTGAGCTGGGTTAATCCCCATTTATAATCAAGTTGCACTACACTGACTGGTGTTTTATACAATCAACAATGTTACCCTTTCCAACACAAAACTGCTAGGCGCTGTCCTTGTCCTAATAGAATCCATAACTGTATCAAGTACTCTTTCTCAAATTTCTCATGTTTGAATAATTAATTTCCATTTTACCCACAACAACAACAAAATTAAAAAAAATAATTTTGTTGCAAGGTAACTAATTAATTTTAACACCCAGTTAGTCAACATTCACAGAAGACAACTTTCAATTTCAGCATTCAATACATATTAAATCCAAATAGAGAGCCCAAATATCCAATGCTCAGGAGGAAAATAAAAAAGAAAATAATCCGTTATAAATTAAAGTAAAATAGAAAAGAGTAAAACACAACAAATTTATTTCCAATCAGCTACCAAACAGAGGATTAGAAAGAAAAACATCAAGAAAAATAAGAAATAACAACTTAAAGCAACCAAACAGAGCATAAAGATTAAAGTTAAAACCCTAAAACCCTTTTACCTGAGGAAGCGGGAAGAGAAGGTTGTGGGAATGAGGAAGGGCTGGGAATGCGATTGGTATGTCTGGGTTGCGGATCAGTGAAGTGAGCGAAGGCAAGTCTAGCAGCGTCGTTTTGGGCTTCCTTGGAGGACCTGAAGAGTTGCACCGTGTCGAAGGCGACGCCGTTTATGGTGACGGAGGCTGAGAAGCGAGGGTTGTGGTCGAGGCCAAGCTTTGTGGCGTTGTACTCGGGCAAGCGCCATTTCCTCTGCTGGCACAGCTCCTGCAGCTTCGACTTGTACATCCTCTCTCTTTTCGTGTGTAGATCACTTCTTTTTTTCTTTTTTTCTTTTTTCAGAGATTGTTGAGTGCTCTGAAAACAAATATTAGTCACTTGCATTAAATAAGTATATTTACGTGTGAATGAAATACAGGTCACACAAATTAATAAGAGAACAAAAATAGAAAGCTTAAAAACAAGATAGGTAGCACTCCTCCAATTTAAATTATTCAACTGTTTCATCATCAGTTAAATTAGTTTTTTTTTGGGTTGAAATTGTAATTCATTGCAAACCCACAAAGTGGTAGAGAATAGTACAAATAAAGCCGAGCAAAAACACTGGTCAGAAAACTAGAAAACAAATAGGAACAAATCTAACTAAAACCATTACAGTATAGCATAAAGATCATGTTCTTGAGCCGAACCTAAAATGTCAAAAGCTAACAAAAAAGCATTTAGCCCACATAAAGGCATATAGCCCACAAAGAGGCATTACACCCACATTAAGCAAAAAGCCCACATTAAACATAGAATACATAAAATAAAACACATAAAACCTAGCCGCCACAACCAAAAAGAAACTCCAAGCCACCGCCACCAGTAAAGAGAAACTCCTCGATTGTAGATGAACACACCGCCAGTCACCACCATGAAGACCCAAACACCCGTAGGTCAGCAAACGAAGCCAAAAATCACACAAAACATAGCCCACCCGAGATTCACAAACAAATCCAGAATCAACCCAACCACTACATCCAAAAGACAGCAGCCAACAAAAAAAGAATGAGAAAACCCATTCCATAGCCAGGAGGAAAAGAACCAAGAACCTGGAAGGAGGTGGTGCAAGCACCTCTACACACCTTCCAATAAATACATGTCAAAACGTGTTTAAAGTTTGTAGATACAACCCAAGGATAAGGCCAGATCAAAGGGGAGGTGAAGGAATCCAGGTGAGCCATAGATTTTGGGTCAGTATGAAGCAAGGCCTGTCGAGCAGATATGGTGATGAAAGGGGAAATCATGCCCAAGGTCTTCATCCCACCAAATTGGAAAAAAGAGGAGAAGGAGAGAAGTGAGATTCAAGGAGGAAGAAGGAGGAAGATGAGGGAAGGGAAGGAGGGGGAGACCACCTCCCCCCTAGATGCAGCGCTGGGGTTTTTTTGTTTTTCTGCTAGGGTTAGAGATAGATGTGGCTCAATGGGTATCAGTTAAATTAGTTACTAGGAAGAATGGAACCATTTCGTACCGTGACTTACACAACATGGACAAAAGCTAATAAATAAAAGGGAGCATTTTTACTCACCACATTAACCAAAGGTGTATGCTCACCACTAGGGATGTATAAGATTCAATCCAATCCATCCAAATCGACCGATCCAATCCAATCAAATTTCAATTAGTTTCGATGATTTGGAGGATTTGATTGGGTTCGTAATTTTCAAAATTGACATGATTGGATCGGATGATGGATTTGCTTATGAGAATCCAATCAAATCCAATACAATTAGTTTTATGCTTATTTTGCTCTTGTATGTATTTGTAGTTGAAAGGTTATGAATATTTTAAGTCATTTAATGGAGCAATGTTTAGTATATTATATAATCAAAACAATTTTCTCTATTATTTTATTTATATTTACATTTACGTCTATTAATATGTTTGATTAGATTAAACCTAAGGATAAATGTTTAGTATTTCATTATTGTCTTTTCCATTATCATATTGGATTTAAACATCTAACATGATTGGATCGGAATGAAAAAATCACAATTCAATCTATATTGGATCGGATGTAGATTGACTAAATTGTATTGGTTTCGAATCGACGTACACCCCTGCTCACCATCATCCTTAAATGGTGACACAATGTCCCTTTATTAACCTTGATTAACTTTTATGTGAAAATTAAAATATATATATATATATATATATTGAAAAAGGGCCCACAACCCATCTTCCCCTCTTTCCTCCCCCCTCTTCTTTTTCTTCTTTTTCTTTCTTTCCTTTCTCACCCCCTCCCTTTTCTCTCTTCTCTCTCTCTCTTTGTTACCACCTTCCTATGTTTGCGCCATTGAAAATTTTTTTTCCAAAACACTAGAATCCAAACTAAATTGCTCAAATTAAGAGGAGCCCAGATGAAAAAAGTAATCTTTTTTAAACCATGAAGTAGAATTCGGTAGAAAATCCAAGGAAACTGAGAAATTGGTAACTTTAACCTATGTTTTCTATTGAATAGAAATTCCAAGCTTGTCCCAACCAAACACTGCAGCATAAAGCCTAAATTTTTTTTTTCCACTTTCTCGCCATTAACTTCTCAAATAAATGAACCTTAACTCAAAGAGTAAACTCCCTTAAGATTGAAGAGAAACATAGATCAAGTAACAAGCTGGGACGAACCTACACAAAGGCTAACCTGGGCTATAGCCCATGTGGCTTTTCTTTCACCAGTCCAAAAAATCTTACCCAGCCCACCTGAAAAATAGAAAATATTGTTGAAACACTACAGCCGCAATTGTACACATGTTAGATTTGAACACTTGACCTCCACTCCCAATCATGATGAGTCCAGATCTTCTGTTCCCATTTTGTCTGTCCCATCTTTGTCTCCTATCTAACTTTTTAACACGTGTCTTTTTACTTAACCCTAATATAACAGTGATAGACTTTAATAGAAATAAAAATAAGAAAAACTAATAATTGAAGAAAATAAAAAACCAAACAGCCACCAAAACTCTCACCCACCTAATCCCGTCAATCACCCTACCCCACTGGTGACGACCCCCTCTCACCCACCTAATTCGTTGAGCTCCCTCTTTTTTTTTCTTTTTTTTTCTTTAGCTAATGCAACTTAGCCTTAATCCAACCCGCTTTGTCGTCTCTTGCCATTAACCACTCAATACATTCGGCTACCTTAACAAACGCAACCCATCTCCCCTCTTTAGCCCCTAAGTTTGGTGCAAACTATACTTGTCATAAGCCTCTTGCTCCTAGTAGGAATCCTTCATCTAACACTGATTCTCTAAACTATGGGTCTAGGGAAGTGAATGGAAAACTAGTTTCTGGAATTTTGTTGCATAACCATTACGATCCCTCTCTTAAGTTACTTCCTTTACTCCAAGATAATGTCATTCTTGGAAATGATGTTAGTTGCTCAATGGGGTCTAGGAAACCTTTTGTCTTTACTGATGCAGCCAACGTTGGCACTCTAGAACAGGGCAAATCACCCCCTTATGAGAAGCTGTGTAGTAGCTATGCTGAAACTGTTGGCAGATCTAATTGCTCCAATCAGGGTGCTATGCAACTTAGGTTTCATAAACTTATTTTAAAGGGTTCTTGGAGAGTGGTGGCTTCACCACCTAATCTGGTTGTTGATGGTGCTAAAGAATGGCATTTCTGCTTGGTGGGCTATTTTGTTGATAAACATTTTCCACTTTCATTTGTGAACACTATTGCTTGTGAGTTGTGTGGTGTTCAGGGACTCGTTGATGTCTTGGAGTGTCGATGGGCTTGGTTATGTTCCCAGTGTAGTTGGTAAGCCATTATATGTTGATTCCTTGACTAAGTCTAAAAGAAGATTATCTTATGCAAGAATATGTGTGGAGCTGGATGCCACGGATGAGCTTATTGACACCTTCAATCTTCGAATGGTTAACCCTAATGGGGAGGTCCAAGTTGGGGAGATATGTGTTGAGTACTAATGGAGGCCCAAAACATGCCTTAATTCCAAGGTGTTGTAACATTCTGATGCCTAATGCTCAATGAAAAATGTCACTTTAGTTAATGATGCAAGTGGCTCTGTTAATAATAGAGGGTTAAGTGGCTTACCAACCTCTCAAACCAACGTTGTTGATAAAAAGTTGCTCAAAAATCCACTGCAACTTTTGTCTTCTGGTCCTAACTTTGCAATGGATATCTCCAAGGAATATACCCCCAGTATTCCCATTATTACAAATCAATCCCCCATGCTTGCTTCCAAAGTAACCAAAGAGAATACCATAAAAACCCATGTTATTGAAAAACGTCCCTCCACGTCATCTAATCTAGAAAACATTGTTGCCACAAAAAATTCTTTCTCCACTATATTCAAATGAATTGGACTTCGAGGTAGATCCTTGCAATGTATCTCCTGACAAGTCTTTATGGCCTTCTAAATTGAAAGACAAGAATGTGGATTGTCTTCCCATTGCCTAACTTATGAAGGGGAAAGGTTCAAACTCCTAGAAAAATAAGCATAAAAATAGGTCCTCCAAGTTGGGTAGTAATTCTTCCTATGTATCAAAATTACATATATCCAATGATTAATATTGTGTGCTAGAATATCAGGGGCAACCTGAACTTTGCCCCTAAGCATGCTGAAGTGGAGAATCCTATTTCTGATGGGAATCTTTTTCCCTTTTTTATGAAGAAACGGGGAAACACCCCAAAAACAACCAAAAACTACACAGAAACAACACCCACTAATCTAGTGCTAGCAACACCTAGCATATCATCCAGAAGTAGAGAACTAATCCAAATAGGAGCCACGTCAAAAAAGAATATTCCCAGCTCTAAGTTATAACTCCAATTGGCTAATCCATAAGCAACACGATTATTCTCTCTATAAATGTGATGAATAGCACAACTGTCAAACCGCTTCATGAGATCACAACAGCTAGAGACCAACGTGCCAAGAGGATGACAAGTCGGATCATGAACTTGTTGTATAGGCTGTACAACAACATTGGCATCCATCTCCACAATAAGCTGAGATATGCCTTTATCTATTGCATACTTTACCCCAAAATACAAACCCCATAACTCAGCATCTAAAATATGACCATACCCCAGGTTGACAGAAAAGCCATCAATCCACTCATTGCGGCCATTACAAATAACACCTATTGCACCAATGCAACTAGAAGCAGCTCTTCAAGAACCATCCACATTGATTTTAAATTTGTGAGCACAAGGAGGTTCCCAAACAATGGAAATTTTCACTTTGTCCATTTTGAAACCAACAGCACAAGAGGCTTTGATCCATTCATGAGTAGCAGACAAGATAATTTGCCCAGGCTGAGTAGGCAACATCTCCCTGTCATTAAAAACCTGTTGATTTCTCCTGTTCCAAATAAACCAATAGGTAAACATAAACACACTACTCCAAGCTAGGCTACTCCACTTAACCCTTGAAAACAGGTTACTCAAAATCCAAGGTTTAAAGTCAGGAGAGAAAAAATGAGCACTTGAATTAGGATACAAAATATGCTCCCATGCTTGTCTGGCCCTAGGATAATCTCTAAGCAAGTGTATTATGGACTTAGAATGCCAACTACAAAAACTATAAGAAGGATCAACCGTTAACTGCCTATCTTTGCTCACTAGACAACACTTTACCATGTATCACCATCCAAAAGAAAATTTTCAACTTAAAAGGAATCATCATCAAACACAAAGCCTTCCACCAAAGCTCCACCTCTCCAACATCAATGAAAAGGAGATTATAGATAGATTTAAGTGAAAAAAGACCATTCGAAGTGCAATTCCAGATATGAGAATCTTTCAAAGTACTACTGGAACCAATTGGAACATTGATTATCCTCTTAACCAAATCTTTAGAACCACACTCCTAAGCTTAACAACATCCTACCAACCATCTCGGAAAAAACTTGGAATGATACACCACACAACTCTTATATTCAACACCCCCTCCTAAAGCATAAGAGGCCTTCCACCAAGCCAAATTTCCTTCCAAAATTTAGCAATGTCCCCCTTCCCAATTATTCAAACCAACCCTTCTCTCTATTAAGCAGAACTATCCCTATGCTGTGTTCTACTGCCATGCAATAAAATCAACAGTAGCTTATGTTCTCTCCCTGAAAGGCGATGATGGGGTGAAGGTTAAAGCAGTAGCCATCTGCCATCTAGACACATCAGAATGGAACCCAAAGCATTTGGCCTTCCAAATCCTCAAAGTTAAGCCCGGAAAAATTCCCATTTGCCATTTCCTTCCCACTGATCATATTGTCTGGGTTCCGAACCACAAATCCGCATGATCATCACTTAGCACTGTACGTATAATAAACTTGCACCCTGTATAATTATCTCCCTACTTATTTCTGCCTCTTCATGTGGTGTAAGATATAGGCCTGGGCACGGTTCGGGTCGGTTCAAATTTTGGCCGACCCGTGGGCCAAACCGAAGGAGAGGTCGGTTCTCGGTTCGGGTCGGGTCTAGGCAGAAACCCGAAAATGGGCCAAACCGAAAATGGGCTCGGTTCTCGGGTCGGTTCCAATTCTGTTCGGTTTGGGCCTGAGCCCATTTTGACAATTTTAAAAAGCCCGAATTCTACTTATTTGCACCCAAAAAAAAGGCCCAAATCATTTTTTTTTAGCTAAACAAAGCCCATTTTCGGTTTCTCTTTCAGCCCCAAAACCCTTTTTTTGTTGTCAAATTGCCAAAACCTATTCAATTCTTATGAACAAGCCCAAAACACTTTTTACTTCACTTTCAAAACCTGAAATTATGTAAATTCAACCTAGAAAAATCCATAATTCCAATCTAAGTTTCTAAACTAAATAAATCTCACATTCAAAACATGAAATTATGTAAATTCAACCTATAAAAATCCATCATTCCAATATAAGTTTCTAAACTAAATAAATCTCACATACACACATTCAACCAACCAAACAAGGAAAAGAAATATAATCTTTTACAAACCATTACAAAAAATAATACACAAACCAAATTAAACTTATGAAATTAAATATTACAACCCATCACAAAAATACATATGAAGATAATATCCTTGCAAAAAATCTGCTGCATCCATTCTTCCAAAAGCCTTAACAAAGTAACCTACACAACACTTAAAAGAATTAACACAAAGTTTCACCATCAACAAATCATAATTAACATAAGATACAAGAAAAATACCTTCCAACATATCTTAATCACACTAAGGGAGAGTCTTATTCAAATTTGTCGTGGATGTTTTACTCCCCATTTCTACAAAATATAATAAAATAAATAAAACCAATTTGAGTTAGAACACATACAAATAAGGAAATAATTAGATTCAAATATACTTATAGAAATGAAAATATTACCCATTTCAATTGATTCATAGAACTCCATCTCCTCAATGCTTGGCACATATTGCAATGAAGATATATCTTCGGACCTTATCCAATTTTGAGAGCAAATCAAAGCCTCAACCATCCTAGGAGACAATGAGCTTCGAAACGAGTCAATCACTCTCCCACTTGTGCTAAAACAAGACTCCGAAGCTATTGTGGAAGTAGGGATTGCAAGCACATCCTTTGCAATTGATGCCAAAGTAGGATACTTGAGCCCATTTATTCTCCACCACCCTAGTATATCAAACTCCTCATCAATGGATTCAAGTGGATCCAACAAGTACCTATCCACTTCATGTGTTATAACCACATTCTCACTCTCTTGTTGAATTTTTTTCCACCTTTCCATCATGGTTTTTCGCTTCCGACCTCCAAAAACCAAAGAAGAGTCGGTTTCATTGTTAGTACTACCACCACTTTCATTGGTAGTACTAGTAGCACCCATATTGTTACTACTAGGCTTATACACTTCATACATATTCATAAGAAGTTGTTTCACTTCATTTGTCTTTTGAGCCACCAATCTTTCACAAGTAGGATCATTTTCAAATATTTCTTCAAAGATGTGCTTCAAATTGCGAAGCTTGAATCGGGGGTCAATCACAACTCCTATCATCAAGAATGGGTTCACTTTATGAATTTCACCCCAATATTTATCATATTTCTTCTTCATTGATGCTGCCATATCATTTAAAAGAGTATCCATGGCTGTCCGTTCTTCAATAGGAATTGTAACATCATATCTATATAACTCCCGAATCTCCCCATCTATGGCAAGCAAGTCATGGAAGGTTGAGTGTGATGTTGGATGCAAAGAAGCTGAAATTTTCAACGTGACATCATAGAAGGTCTTCAAAAACATCACAAATGTCACGGCTTTTTCCCAATCTTCATCACTAGGTGGACCCACCCTCTTATTAGTCTTAGACTTTCCCTTCCCTTTCCCACTTCCTTCAATGCCTTCAATTCTCTCGTCATCTCCTTCATCTTCCTTGAAGTACATTAAGTAGGAAGAATCGGGATCATCCCCCATTCTATCAAAGGCTTTTCGAAATTTCAATGCCGCTTCAAGCATCAAATAAGTGGAGTTCCACCTAGTGGGCACATCCATCACCACCAACCCCTTGCACTCTATTTTTTCGGTCTCAACACACATTTTGAAGTAACTCAACCGAGAAGGTGAGGACCTCACAAACTTGACCGCATTACGGATTGCCACAATTGAGCTTTCTAATCTCTTCAAACCCTCCTTAACTATCAAGTTGATTATATGAGCACTACACCTCATATGCATGTGAACTCCTCCTAACACACTATTCGAATCTTTCCACCCATTTATTTTCTTCCTCACATATTCAATTGCCTTAGTATTGGCAGCTGCATTATCTGCAGTAATTGTGAGTATCTTCTCATGTCCCCAATCAATCAAGCAATTTTCAAGCAATTTCCCAATGCTCTCCCACTTATGACTATCAATTACACAAAAATTTAGGATCCTTTTGTGCATTTTATAGTCGGAATCCACAAAGTGGGCAGTCAACACCATGTAATTCACATTTTGAACCGATGTCCAAGTATCGGTTGTAAGGCATATTCTATGTGAATGAAGGTCAACTTTCAACTTCTCCTTCATTTTTGTGTACATTTCTAGAAATCTTCTTCCAAGAGTTCTACGAGAGGGTGGATTAAATTGTGGGCATGCAACACTACAAAATTCCCTAAACCCTTCACCTTCCACAAAGCTAAAAGGTAGCTCATCTCGAACCACCATCCTAATACAAGCATCCAAACAATCATCTTTGTTAAACTTCCTAGAAACAAGAGCATTACCCTTGGATGCATCAAATGCAAGCATCCGTGTGCTCTTATCCTTGTGCCTATAAGGATATTGCAAGCATTGTTTGTTTATATGCTTCCACATATTGCTAGTCCCATTTCTCTTGGTATCACTAGCATAAGTAGCACTACAATACTTGCACTTAGCTCTTTTTTCAATTTCTTTTCTTTTAGTCCCATCTACCCCTTTCAAATCCAATACCAAATCATACTTTTCAAAATGTTCCCACACATCACTCTCCTTCTTACAAGGTTTCCTTTTCCCGGTACTAGGTTCTAATGGTGAAGATGGTGGATTTTGTGATGCTGCTGTAGGAGGTACAACGGCATCACTACAAGGTAGAGAATCATCATTCCCATGCATTTGAGCCTCATTAGAAACAGGTTCCTATTCAAAAACAGAGTAAAACCATATTTAAACACAGCCTATCCAACCATCAGACTAGAAAAACATATAACCTATCCAACAATCAGACTACAAAAACATATAACCTATCCAACAATCAGACTACAAAAACAGATTACAAATTACATAATACAAAAACAGATTACAAAAACAGACTACAAATTACAGATTTAAACTATGCATACAACTCCCGAAACATATATCCTATCCAACAATCAGACTACAAAAACAGATTACAAATTACATAATACAAAAACAGATTACAAATTACATAATACAAAAACATATTACAAAAACAGACTACAAAAACATATTACAAAAACAGAGTATAAAAACAGATTACAAAAACAGATTATAAAACAGATTACAAAAACAGCTTTAAACATATTACAAACACAGATTTAAACAAATTACAAAAACAGATTTAAACAATTACAAAAACAGATTTAACATATACAAACACAGATTTAAACAGATTACAAAAACAGATTTAAATAGATTAGCAGCAGCAGCGAATATTTACCTCCATTTAAGCAAAATTTTCCAAACTTTCAACGCTCAGCAGCAGCAACGACGCTAAACAACTGTGAATGAAATCAAAAAAAGGGTTAGGTTACAAACAAGCTTCATTCCTTTCAATGCCTCCAAACCAAATAACCTTAAATACCCATTGCTCTAAAAAAAGTCCTAAAATTAAAACCAATATCTGAACTGCATGCCTTAATCTTTAATAGTCACATCCCGTACATTAGACTAATTAGAATTTTCGTTTATAAAAATTAAAAAACTACCAAAATCAGTTTACTGTAAAACTATATGTCTCTGTTTGGTTGCTGTCAATTAATTGCGAAACCTTAAGGGATTCATCAGAGAGACTCATTTTTCTTTGGTCAACATAAGTCAGACTTTTAGTTGGAGATTCTTTTTCCTTCCAATAACCATTACTTGCAGCCCTAATTTGTATAATGCATGATACTTACAGTTCATAATTTCTTTGTCAATTTCAAATAATCATCAAAACACAGCATAACCTACTAATTGGTGGCAGCCCTAATTCGACAACCCTAAAGGCTAAAACCTTAACAGAAAAAATATATCATCACATTAACCTCAACCACCAAATCGACAAGCCTAATTTAACAGAAAAAAACCATAAATTTAATTTACAATAAACCCTAAATTCAAAGGAAGATGATGCTCTCACCTCTTTGACTGATATGAGAGAGAAACCCACAGACGAAATCGCAGGAGAGGAATAGATGTCGTCGGTGATCAGAAACTGAGACTGAGAGAAAATAGAAAAATCGAGATAAGAAGAGAGAGCAAAGAGAGAGTTCGCGGAGCAAAGACGCGACGGAAAAAAAATCGAACATATAAGAGAAGAGAAGCTGACCTGCGTGGAGGGATGGAGGCGGCACGGTGGCTGATCGACTGAGAGTGAGAGGATCGAACTAGAGACGGTCGAGAGAGAGAGGCGTCGTCGCAGCCTCTTAGGTCAAAACGAAATGAAAAACTGAAGAGAGGATGAGAAGTCTGAGAGAAAGAGAAGAGAGAGAGTCACGTGTGACTCACGGGGACTTAGGGAAAAATTAAAAAATCGTGAGGGATCTGCTGCAAGCAGTCTCACATTAATAATTTTTTGGGCCAATCATACGACGCCACGTGTAATAATTATATATATTAAAATAATGTCGGTTCGGTTCAGGTTTTTCGGTTCTATAAAAATCAGAACCGAAGGCTGAACCGTTAACCTTCGGTTCGGTTCAGGTCTGCTGTTGACTTTTTCGGTTTGGTCAAAAAATACTCTTTTTCGGTTTGGTTTGGTTTGGTTCGGTCGGTTTGATCGGTTTATCGGTTTTTATGCCCACCCCTAGTAAGATATATGATGAGATGAAGTTTTTGGGATTAATGGTCGGGTTGCCTAAAAAACGCAGATTACAGAAACTGCTTGAAATTAACCCGATCATGTTTTCTCTTGTAACTATATAGACTTCAACTTGTACTCATAAAGCATGCTATATTTATGAAGAGATATTAATCTATATATATATATATTATATTTCTTATTAATGTTAATATATGGATAACAAAGAGCTTTATCTCTAGTGGTTAAGAGCAATTACCCATGCACTTGAGATATTATGTGTTTAAATCCCCTCTTCCCCAATATTTCTTGTATAAAAATAAAAATAAAAATAAAAATAATAAAGACATTAATATTGTATTCTATAAAGTGTTGGACATGTTTTATACCCCGTTCCTGCAAATTACAGTTTGACACATGTACAAAAATAATAGGTAAGTGTTGGACAACATCAAGAGTACTTACATATAGGTAAGTTTTGAATATTTCGGTATTTAGCTTTAATTATTGAAAATCAACGTACATTTAGTTTTGAATTTTTCTGTATTTGTCCATATTCAACGTACATTCTCTTATTTTTCTCTTTACTAAGCACATAGTGGAAAAGTGGGTCACAATTAGGGGTGGGTTCGGTCTGGGTTGGCTCGGTTTTGGGCTCAACCCGAGTACTGAACTGTAGGCCTCGGTTTTGGCTATTTTGGAAACCAAAACCAAACCATAATTGTTGAAAACCAACCACTTCGGTTAACCGGACTTGGTGGGTTGGTTTGGTTTGGTTTGGGTTTTTTTGGCTTTCTTAGAGAGAGAGAGAGAGAGAGAGAGAGAGAGGAGAGAGAGAGAGAGAGAGATAAGAAATAAAAGCGATGGAGAGGAGAAGAAGAAGAAAAAGAGGGAGAGATGGAGAAGAAGAAGAGGAGAAAAATAAGAGAGAGAGAAGAAGAAGAAAAGTGACTGGGGGAGAGGGAGGGACTGATGGAGACAAGACAAACGGAAAGATGGAGAGAGATGAAAAAGAAAAGATTGAAACTATGTATTATATATATATGTCTTATAATAATATTATATATAATATTTTTTTTAATACTATCGGTTGGGTTTGGTTAAACAGTGATTTTGAATATTGCAAACCGTACACCGAATCATATATTTTGATTTGGTTTGGGTTCAAACCGATGACCAAAAAAATTGAAAAAAAAACAAATCAACCCAAACCATCGGTTTGGTTTGGGCGGTTTGACCAAGTTACCGATTTGAATGCCATGACCTAGTCACGATAGTGAAAAAGTGGGTTACAAAAGCTCCTAAAAAAAGTCAGCCTACAGAAACGGCCACTTTTATCTTTGAGGTCATGCTCAGAGCTTCTTTTCCAACACTACAAAAGGAAAAACGACCGAATATTTGGAAAACCATGGATGCTAATTAAGGAAGAGGGACATTATATACGACATGTTGTTGCTTTAAAATCAGGTGTCAATCTTTATCCTCGAGTTCTCTACTTCTTAGTCCATGCCAACAATACAATCCTCTCGAAACATCCCTCATAAGCTAAAGGGTGTACATTAGGCCATTTGACGAATTTTTGAAAAAACTCTCCCACTCTTTGACTAAAATACACCATTTTGTTGACTTTGTGCTAAAATGTCATCAACCTTTACCATACCAAGTGCAACAAAATTACACCAGGCTGGAGTCAAGTTTATGATGGTTAAAGATAAAAACTTATTTGACATACAATTTGAGAATGGAATCCTCAAAATTCCACACCTTTGAATACGGGGTTCAACAGAAATTTTCTTCCGCATTCTTATTGCCTATGAGCAGTGTGAGCTCCATGATCATTACATCAACGACTATGTCTTCGTCATGGACCGCTTGGTCGACAGTGCCAAGGATGTGGAATTGCTTGTGAAGAGTGGAATTCTTGAATCTATGCTACCAGACAGCATCCACAATGAGCTCCCTAAACCATCTCCTTAGACAAATTTTAGGGAGGAATTGGAAAAGTACAACTCCAACCATGCTCCCTATCCACCTCTTAAAATAGGGAGACCTCTAAGTGCTTCTAAATCTGAGGAGAGATAAAGGACTCTTAGACCTCTAGGCACTTGTACTTTATTACAAGAGATATGATCATCCCACTGACAATCAACTCCATTATAAAAACATAGCTATTTCCTTCTTGGAGAAGGACATGCGCCTTGGCGCAACAACGAACTTCCAATTTGCTAGAAATTCAAACACGGCTACTTTCCTGTCATGTGAAAGTGCTCAATCGATCCCCTTCTCCTCTAACAAACTATCAGAGAGGAAAAATATTGCACACATATTTAGAATCAATGGTTGATTTTAGCACTTCGAAGCTGAGAACAAGAAATGTTCGAGCAATCTCGACGGAGGTATTGGAAAAAGGAGCCACCATGTCTGTGCACAAGTATACAACAATGCCGGGACTAAAGAAGTTGGCAGGTGACAAAGTCGTTGTGTTTCATAAGCAGAACTATCCCTATGCTGTGTTTTACTGCCATGCAATAAAACCAATAGCAGCTTATGTTCTCCCCCTGAAAGGTGATGATGGGGTGAAGGTTAAAGCAGTAGCCATCTGCCATCTAGACACATCAGAATGGAACCCAAAGCATTTGGCCTTCCAAATCCTCAAAGTTAAGCCCGGAAAAATTCCCATCTACCATTTCCTTCCCACTGATCATATTGTCTGGGTTCCGAACCACAAATCTGCATGATCAACACTTAGCACTATACGTATAATAAGTTTGCACCTCTGTATAATTATCTCCCTACTTATTTCTGCCTCTTCATGTGGTGTTGTTTGGGCCTAATTTGGCACACCCAGCACAAAGAAAATAAAGCCCATGACAATTTTGGGCAACCACCAGCGCTCCGTTAAAAAATTGGGCCAAGACACACACTCAACCTGACAGATTGGAGGCCTAGAAGAACAAGGAAAAATTAGATCCAACTAGTATGGACCCAAATTGTAATTGGGGGCCCGAATCGAGATTTTGGAAATAGGAATAAAATTCCAAGAAAGCCTAGCCCAGAATCTGCCAAAACATGACAATGACATTGGGCTTCGAAAAAAGGGAAATCAGCCCATGACTCCGAAAACCCACACCTGGACTTGGCATGATTAAAGAAAAGGAAGGCCCAAAGTTGAAGACAAACCCATGTGATCTCCTGACTTGGAAAAGTCAACAATTTCAACTATCACAAAAAGCTGATTGGGAATTAAATGAAAGCAGATCATTAGCAAAGACTTCTCTGAAACCCTGGGGCTAAAAGATCATGATCCTTTTTTATACAATTTTGCGTCAGAGTAGGTGGTCCTTCCTAAAGATAAGCAAACTACAATCTCAAAAAGAGATAGGTAGGAAAACAAGAAGTTGTTTAAACTGGAAAATCAAACTAACCATCACGGTTTGAGCTCTTGCAGAGGGCAGTTAAATTGGGAAAAGAGTTAGGTTCTCTTTCAGGAAAAACATGGAAGTGATCTTCAAAACTGACTGTTGAGAGCTTATGTGCCAGAATTGATTAACACCCCATTTCCTTTGCATTTTTAAAATGAAAGATCTTTTTTCTTGCCGCCCATTATTAAAAGAATTAGAAACCCTACTCCAAAGCATTTCTTATAAATATAAAGAGGGTTGAATAGGGCAAAGAGACTAAATTCAACAATCAATCCAACAATCAAAAATCAACAAAAGGCAAAAACTCAAAATGATCACTTGATCACTGAGAATCTTCAAACAAACTGAAACAACCAAAAGCTCATTTGAGCCACAAAAGAAGCCAGCTATAGATCATAACTTCCAAGTTCAGACTTAGAGAAATAAGTCGTTCAAAATGAGACTTCTCTCGTTACAAATTTGGTTAAGCAAAAGCCAAGACAAGCAGAGTTTGAGTTTTCACAAATATGAAAACCTCAACAAATTATGAAGAGTCTTGATCAAGCAGAACAGGTGCTACAGTGCTGTTCCAGCTTAGTAATCCTCAAGTCCAGCCACTTCTGCCCCTTTCAGACCAAAGAAGTTACAGTTCTGCCCATTCAAAAAGCCTTTCAGGGCTTAAAATATATTAAAGCTCTACCAAACTCAAAATTTGGTATCGATTTACAGTTGAAACTTAGCAGTTGAGGTTGAAGACAGTTTAATCCAACACAGACATACCTAGTCCAGCCCGGATCGGAGACTTCTGTCCAGGCAGAAATGGAATTCCAGCTTTCTCTTTGTCTTTCTAGAGTTGATTCTTTCCTTTCTAGTTTTGTAAAAGGAAGTTCTGTCTAAAAACAGTCCACTTTATTATCATTTATTCTGGCCAGAACTACCAATCTTGTATTGAGATAAATTGTGAAGTCCTCACCAGTCTGAGGCAGGAAAAGAACTTACTTGGGAGATATTCCTCACCCAAATTCACAATCGCTTGTTTAGAAATTAGTAACTTGGGGCACAAGTTATCTACTTTAAAGAAGTCTGCTAGGGTTTTCATTGCTAGCAGTGGCACGCTCATACACTAAAGAAAGTTGACTTGTTGACCAGTCAATGGTCTTCAAGACAATGTGGGAACTTTGCCCTTCCATCACAGGAACAAAACTAAACGGGTGAACAGGTGTAAGATATATGATGAGATGAAGTTTTTGGGATTAATGGTCGGGTTGCCTAAAAAACGCAGATTACAGAAACTGCTTGAAATTAACTTGATCATGTTTTCTCTTGTAACTATATAGACTTCAACTTGTACTCATAAAGCATGCTATATTTATGAAGAGATATTAATATATATATATATATATAATATGCTTTGGCTTTGTACCCTGTTTATGTAGATGATATATAGTCATAATTGGAAACGACACCGGAAAGCAATTGAAGCTGCAAAAGTATTTGTCTCAGAAATTTGAGATGAAGGATTTAGGTGATATGAAGTACTTTCTCGGAATTGAGGTAGCAAGGTCAAAAACTGGTAAATTTCTGTCTCCAAGCAAGTATTAATGGATCTACTCACTGAAACAGGAATGCTTGGGTGTAAGCCGGGTGACACACCCATTGAGATGAATCACAAGTTGTGTGAAGACATGGACCAAGAACCAACCAATAAAGAACAGTACCAACGACTTGTTTGAATGTTGATATACTTGTCACACACAAGACCAGATATTGCATATGCTATGAGTGTGGTTAGTTAGTTTATGCATTCACCCAGTGTTTCTCATAGGAATGCAGTTGATCGGATCTTAAGATACTTAAAGTCAGCCATTGGGAAAGAATTAATGTTCTAAAAAAACGGAGATCTTGAAGTTGTTGGATATACAAATGCTTATTGGGCTGGTTCCATTATAGATAGACACTCTACTTCTGGTTACTTTACATTCGTGGGAGGTAACCTAGTCACTTGGTGGAGGAAAAAATAAAATGTGATTTCTCGGTCTAGTGCAAAAACAGAATATTGAGGAATGGCTCATGGAGTTTGTGAATTATTGTGGATCAGAAGACTCTTGATAGAATTGGGCTTTAAGCCAGAAAAGCCAATGTAGTTGCATTGTGACAACAAGTCAACTATCAATATTTCCCATAATCCAATTCAACATGATCCAACCAAACACGTTGAGGTGGATAGACATTTCATCAAAGAAAAAGTTAAGAATAAGATCATCCGCCAATCATTAGTACAATCAGAAGATCAACTGGCAGATGCCCTAACAAAAGCTGTTTGTGGAAGAGTATTTCATGACTCACTTACCAAGTTGGGCATTGGTGACATATATGCACCAACTTAAGGAGGAGTGTTAACATGAGTCTCCTACTTAATCATGGAGATTTATTTCCTTGATTAATTAAGAGATTTAATTTGTTATTTTATATAGTTGACAAATCATTATATAATTAATTAGGAGATACTATCCTGACTGATTACTGTATCTATTTCCTTGTAAAACACTTATATAAATTCCTATATATATACCTCTTTATAGAGAATAATAAAACTTAACCTAAAATATTCAAACCATATTCAAACCACATAGACCCTATCTTGTAGATTGTCTATAAATAGAAAATATGCGTATCTCCATGTCTTGTTAATAATAAAAGAACCACACACTCCCCAAAATCCCACTATGAACCCCAACGCAGTGAAAATATGAAACCACGGAAGTTGATGAAGCCTATTGTCCATGTCTTTATTGTTCTTGTTATCTGTATCAATGCCCTTACTTGGTCCACACTTATTTGGGAGTGGGGCACCACAAAGTTTTGGATTCTCTTCAAAGGTGAAAGCATTGAAACTTTGGAGTTGGGTGCCTGTTGGTATTGGTCCTTCAAGGTTATTGTACAAGGCATTAAATTCTTTCAAGAAATTAAGCCTCGCCAATGATGATGGGATTATTCCAGACAAGTGATTCATGGAGAGGTCCAAGATCTCTAAATTTTGGAGGTCAGATATTTGGTCTGGAATGATGCCGGCGAAGTTGTTGGAGCCAAGAACCAAATGGCGGAGAAGCTGCAATTGGCTGATCTCAGCAGGTATATAACCACTAATGTTATTATTATATAAGTTTATATATGTTGGAAAAAAAAATACAATTTTTGTGGTAGAAATTATAGAATTGAGGTTGAGTCATCGCCGAAGATAGGCAATTCAAATTCATATTGGTCTGCTTGAGGGGCAACAGGTTCATAAAGCAACCTTGGTAGTAGACAAAGTTGCTGAGGAAATTCACCTGAAATTCGGTTGTTTAACAAGCTTATATAAAACAGCCTAGGAAGAGTCCCCAACCAACTTGGAATTGGCCCTGTGATTTGATTAAAACCCAACAACAAGATCTCTAGATTCTTGAGCTTCGATAACCATACAGGTATTTGACCAGTGATGTCAGAATCAGCCAACTCAAAAACTGAAGATTTTGGAATCCGTCGAAATCAACCATGTCATCATCAGATGGCATTCCCTCACCCACAAAGGAACCACCAAGCAAGAGTGTGTGAAGACTTTTGCAACTCATCAACATCTTCGTTACCCCTGTGAGATTGGTGAATCAGTTGTAACTAAGCGAGAGGAAGGACAAGGATTTCAGTGAAAGAATGTCAGCTTGTATTTGTCCCTCTAGATGATTTTTAGACGATCGAATGGCTTTTAGGGACCGACATGCATAAAGGCTTACTGGAACCGTGCCAGTGAAATTATTCATCCTTAGGTCAAGTTTAGTAAGTTGACTCAGTCTGGAAAAATCAAGCATGGAGATATCTCCTTCCAAGTTGTTGGATCCCAAACACAATTCTACAAGGTTTGTGCAATTCATCAAAGATGGGGCAAAGCACCTACTAAATTGTTGAAATCAAAGGTCACAAACTTCAACTTGGAGAGCTTCCCCAAATTGATAGGAAGCTTGTGGCCAAAATGATTAAAGGAGAGGTCAAGGATGGCAAGGTTGGCGAGGTTGACAATTTTATCACTAATGGCTCCATGTAGTGAATTGAGAGGTAATGCAATTTCTTCATGTTTGGTAGCTTTATAGATATCTTCTGGAAATAATCCTAAGAGGTTATTGTGACCGGCACGAAAAACCTGCAGTTCAGAACACTTCCCTAGCCCAGGAGCAAGGTCGCCATTCAATAGATTGGAAGAAAAATCCAATAGCCTAAGGAATGGAGAAGAATGTTGGAGACAAATAGAGGATGGGACATACCCTGTGAAGGAATTCTGTGTTTTTTGGGGCATGGATATGTGTAGATATAATGTAAGAGAATAAGAGGAAGAGAAGCAAGGCATGAACCATTAGGTATAAGCTTGCACTATCATGTTGCTTTGTGTATGTGCCGTTGCTCACATGTAGTTACATATATAAGAGCAATGATGCTTGAAAAGGACGCAAACATCAGTACAAATTGAGAAGTCCCCAAACGACAACCACAATGCAAATTGTGTGGTTGAAGAGATATTCCCACTAATGAAACCAGAGAGAAGACCTCATTGGGTCTTAATTTAAAGTCCACAAGGCCTTCAAAGTGCGCAAAGTAAGAAATTAGCAAACAACCATAACTATACGTTGAAGAGAGAAATATCCACGCTGGAAGATAAGTGATACCAGCGCATCTTCCATGTTAATAACTCAAAGTCCAAGTTCAAAGTTGTTTTTCTTGTTGATGATTCTTCTAAGAAAATTCGAAATTGAAGGATAGTCATTCTTTCCAAGTTTGCCCCACAAGAAGGCAACTGCACTTTCACATTCAGCAGATTTTTATTTTTATTTTTCTAAATTAGCAATAGACATTAATCTTCGTTACTGAGACATAGACATCAATCCTTCACAATTGACAACCGTATTACATGCATATGCATCAGTTTTCATATCTTTGGACTGAGTATGCAAAATAAAAAGTACAATATTAATAATATATATCTAGCCTCTAAGCTTTTTTTTCATCGTGTTTGATGCAGGAGCATAGGGGTGGATCAAGATACATATTTACCATTTAATTAGTTATTTCTTGATATATTGTTATTTTCTTATTTAGGTAGTTTTAGGATATCTTTTATTATTTATGTGTGATTTTATAATTAATTGGTTTACTTTTGGACCAAGCAGTCTTGGTGCCCAAGTCTTGTAAAGCCTATAAATAAGGCTAATGTAATAGTTGTAAGCGAATTGAATATTGATGATTAATGAAATAATTTATTTGTGGCATGGATTTGCTACGATATATGTGAGTTTGCACTAACCCTAGATTTCGGTGCTCGTGTATGTGGTTGGTGACTTGTGTCTTGATCCCGATCCCCATCAATTGGTATCAGAGCTACGGCTCAAGATCTGCTTTATTGGGGAGGTTTTTGGATGGAGGGTCGTGTTGACAACTACAACGACATGGAGGAAATTAGGAGGATGCTATGGCAACTTACGGAACGTGTCGCTCGCATCGAAGCTTGAACCCAGATCGGTAAGAGTTTTGACGGGGAGAGATGCGTGAACCCTTATCTGAACCGAGTAGCTCGCATCGACACTCTAAGCCGTGAGAGTCTCGACAGGGAGTACGAGGGGGATAACCCTTTTCATTATTGCGCTCCGTTGTGTGAGTCAAGTGAAGAGGGGCACAGTTATTCTCATTGTGTCTTTGAAGGTATAAATGGATTTGGTAATTTTGATGCATCTTTTTCTTCATCAAAGTTATTAAATTTAGATTTACCTCCAATATTTGATCCTTGCAACTGTGAAAATTGCAATAAAAATTGTTTGGGTGTTCAAAGCAATTTTGATAAGCAATTTGTTGATCAGGACAGTGAAGAGATGAGAATTGAGAAAACTTTTGAAGATATTATTGATTTTATGGGCATTAATATTTTCACTTGGAAGGTTGCCAAAAATCTAGTTGATTTTGTCAATCGGTTGAAGATTCTAGAGAGAAACATTTGCATTGTTAGAGGGAGTAAGAAGAAGCCAAGAATAACGAAATATTCCAAATATCTTTTTATTTGGAAAGGAAGGTTTCAATTGGATGCTAAAAGATCCAGAATTAATATGAAGCAATTGAAGATTCTACTCGGATTTTCCTCAATCAAAGGCTTGAATTCGAGGACGAATTCTTTCCAACCAAGGGAGTCTGATGCGGGAGCATAGGGGTGGATCAAGATAGATATTTACCATTTAATTAGTTATTTCTTGATATATTGTTATTTTTTTATTTAGGTAGTTTTAGGATATCTTTTATTATTTATGTGTGATTTTATAATTAATTGGTTTACTTTTGGACCAAGCAGTCTTGGTGCCCAAGTCTTGTAAAGCCTATAAATAAGGCTAATGTAATAGTTGTAAGCGAATTGAATATTGATGATTAATGAAATAGTTTATTTGTGGCATGGATTTGCTACGATATATGTGAGTTTGCACTAGCCCTAGATTTCGGTGCTCGTGTATGTGGTTGGTGACCTGTGTCTTGATCCCGATCCCCATCAGTGTTGATGCGCACTGTTACCATCACATAGACCATATCTTGTAGATTGTCTATGAATTGAAAATATGTGTATCTCCATGTCTTGTTAATAATTAAAGAAACACAAACTCCCCAAAATCTCACTACGAACCCCAACGCGGTGAAAATATAAAACCACTGAAGTTGATGAAGTCCATTGTCCACGTCTTTATTGTTCTTTTTATTTGCATCAATGGCCTTACTTGGTCCTCACTTATTTGGAAGTGGGGCACCACAAAGTTTTGGATTCCCCTCAAAGGCAGAAGCGCTGAAGCTTTTGAGCTGGGTGCCTATTGGTATTGGTCCTTCAAGATCATTGTATGAGGCATTAAATTCTTCCAAGAAATTAAGGCTCGCCAATGACGATGAGATTATTCCAAACAAGTGATTCATGAAGAGGTCCAAAATCTCTAAATTTTTCTAGTTAGATATTTGGTCTAGAATGACGCCGGAGAAGTTGTTGTAGCCAAGAGACAGCCAGCAAAGAAGGTGCAGTTGGCCGATCTCAGCAGGTATATAACCACTAATGTTATTATTAGATAAGCCTATCATTGTTGGAAAAGAAGACAATTTTTGCGGAAGAAAAATTTGATTTGCAGTTATTATGTTGCTGAAGATAGGCAATGCAAATTCATATTGGTTCATAAAGCAACCTTGGTAGTCTACAAAGTTGCTTTGGAAATTCACCTAAAAGTCGGTTGTGTGCCAAGTCTATATAAAACAGTCTAGGAAGGTTCTCCAACCAACTTGGAATTGGCCTTATGATTTGATTAAAACCCGAGCCAAGAACTCTAGATTCTTGAGCTTTGATAACCATACAGGTATTTGAACAGTGAGGTCAGAACCAGCCAGACTAAAAAACTGAAGATTTTGGAATCTGTCAAGATCAACCATGTCACCATAATGTGTTAATATATAACTAAACTCCCACACATGCCTGCTCTTCGTAGATAACAATGTTAGGTTTATGTCTTATATTAGGTCATACTGCGTTTTGGGAAATGGCACCTAGAATCCCTTATTTAACTTACAGGTCAATCAAGGAATAGAAGCTACCATCCTAGGGGGAGGATCTATTATCTCTCTACCTATACACCAGTGAGCAACGGCACATACCCAAAGCAAATTGCTAGTGCTGCCTTATAACCTAATGGCTCATGCCTTCCTTCTCTTCCTCTTATTCTATGACATTATATCTACTAATATTCATGACTGCAGACAAACTAAACGCAGCTCCTTCCTGTCGTTTGCCTCCACTCTATCTTATCCTCCTTTAAATAGGACATCCATTGATTGCTGTCGTTAGGAGGGCATCACTTGTGATCTAGATGGTTGGGTCACCCATTTGCCCTTACCTTCCAAAAAGCTCAAAGGAGGTTTCTCTTCCTCTTCACTTGCAAATCTCTCACATCTCACACACTTGAACCTTCCCCACAATTCACTTTATGGTTCATTTGAAATTCAGTTCTTGTCTTTGAATCGACTTGAGATCCTTGATTTGAGCTGTAACCGTCTCTCTGAAGAGCTACCACTTTCTTGATTTGAGCTAGATTCTTGGAAACTTGGAAGATATATGGTGTTATTTAATACGGCATGCACGCCAGACATGGCTTGAGAGTTCCAGTGCTGGTCAAACCTTATCTTAACATTACATACATTGACATCCTATTCGTGTTACACTGCAGGAGAAGCATAACCTTCGCAGAAAATCTCATTCTTCGCTCTTCATTCACAACTCACTACCATCTGTCAACTACATGACCAAACAGATGAACTTTAGAAAAATGGTACATCAAGGAAAAGACGAAAGGCATAAAAGATGACACACTCGGAGTAAATTCATGGATATATTAAACGCAACAAAATTTTATTTAAGGCTAGGTGATTAAATTGAACAACTTATACTACAAGGTCATGCAGTCTTCAGCCTTCTTTCGTCCCAGCAACGTCAACAAGGTATTGATTCAAATGCCAACCAAATATTTTTGTAGAGAATGAATCTGTCACATGCCATCGCGCATAGATGCCCATTCTCTGCACCATCTGTGGGTCTTCGATCAGTTTAGCAATAGCCAAGCAGAACCCTCTGTGCCATCTACAGGTCTTCAATCAGATTATCTCATATCAATTTATTTTCCAACCTATATCCCATCAAACGGAACAAAACAGTGTAATTTGGACCTTTGGTGTATAAAGGACACATTGCCATTGGGAGAGAAGTGCATTTCTTTCAGCTGTTGAGCAAGATGTGATGAAGTTAACCTGATTGGACACTCCTTCCTTTTCTGCTAAACTTCTGAGCTCCTTCAAGTACTCAGCATTTTCTTTCAAGCGCTTATCGAAGCCACCTAAAACATTGGACACGTATTGAATTTATCACTCCCGTATGTGGAGAAGTTATGCACTTCTACCAATCAAATATGAAATAGCATTGGTTCCTTTTGTCGTGTGGCGGGGTTGGGTATTCGAAACTGACCCGGCATAACTTGTCTGTTAGCTCAGACAATAATCCAAAGTGCATTTTTACACAGCATCCACAATTGGTAAAAGGAAACCCCATACATCTAATTGACGAACTCATAAGAATCCCAATATGACCTAACTGAACATTAAGACAAAGATTTAATATCCCAAAATGTTTAGACTATAGCTAATACAGTACAAAATTTTTGTTTAGCTAAAATACAGATTTGCTGAAACTATGGGGCTTGTTTCATTAAAAAAACCTGGTTTTAAATCTTTCATTAATAGAATTTTTTTGCTGTAGCGAGTAATAGCTATGGTTGTTCGCTGTTCAAGAATTCTATCTTTAAGCAGTTCATACCATCCCTACATAATGTTTTGATCTAAGAGCATTCTTTGGAACCTTGCTGAGTAAATTTTGAGAGATAAGAAGAGTGTATTATCCTCCAGTCAAACTAAATTCATTTTGACATCTCTATATATCTTGACATATGTCACACACACACAACTAACTAAGCACTAATATATTGTAATAACAAAGGAAATTTGAACATCTATCCAGGGTTTTGATTCGCAGGTATGTCAGATAACAGCATAATAGTTTACTGCTATTCATTCTACATAAGCTTCGTTTTCTTCCACAAATAACAACTCCAGGCTTGACTAGGAATGTAGTAGGCCTTCACAAGCCCACTACATAATCTGAAACAATCCAGTAGTGACACCTAAATTCTAGATATAACATCTACAGCTAATGTTTCAAAATTTACTGAGAGAAAAAAAATGTCTTTCCACGTCGAGATGTTATAGTTAAATTGCAAGATCCATAAGGCTTTCAACACACAAATGAACCTAAAGGGAAAGCTTAATATCACAACCACGTGATTACTGCATGCTTCTGCTTGGTTATTGATAGTCTATTAATATCATATGGTCTTTCGACAAGGTTATATAGTAATGAAGGAACATGCATATCCCTAATAAATTATTTTTTTCTCTTACCTATTAGTTGATAATTTAGTATAACATGTCTATCAGTAAGATTAATAGATTACTCCGTGATAGGAATTTGCCTGCAATTTTCAGGGAAGTTTCAGTTAGATTAGGAACTTGAAGCACATCTCTTTCAAGGGTACAAAGCATAGCGAAAGCTGAAATTTCCCAGTCTATATTCTTTTTCATCTCAAAACAGTTTATCAACAGAAAATTTATCCTACAACAGGGAAAATATCAAAGCAGGAAAACAACGGTAAGCTACATAAAATTCGGAAATGAAAATCATCAAGGAAACTGTAAACCATATACAAACATGTTCGTTACTTATACAAATTGGTGTGTTCATCAACTGTTTCACATTAACAGCTGGGTAAAGACTGGCTGAATTCCTCATGCGTTAAGATTCTTAAATGTCTTTGCAAACATAGATGCTTTGAATTTGCTATTAACAAGAATCTTATCTGCCATTCCTGCAGCCATACTTAATTTTTTTTTAAAAATCAGTGAGAAATAGTAGTATGATCACTGCAAAAGAACACTAAAAAGGTGCACAAGTTCTTCTATGAAATCTAAAGGTTTCCTATATGTACTCCTCAAAATAGTGTGTGTGTGTGTGTGTGTTGAGCTAGCAATAAATCTGGAAAATGACAATAAAACAAAACCTGGACATAAAGATGTAACATATTAAACAACATGATATCAAATAGGTGCAAATACCTTTGTTGTCTTCTTAAGCTTTAGCATTGGGATGACAACAGAAACCTGATCTGCTAGTATTACATCAAATGATGGCCACAGGACCAGCACACAGAGAGCAACAAAAAGGCACCGTAGAAATGCACACAAAGCATGAAGACGATAGAATATACGTAGGGGTAGGAAAGCACCATATACAGTAACAGGAAAGATACTGGGAAACCAGATGACATTAAAACATCAAACAATGCACTGATTTTAAATGACGGTTGAACACTGTGAAACTGAGAAATAAGGACAAGGAAAGAGAAGAAAATTTGATATGTTTGTTCTAACTATATATGTATAAACCATCTTCCAATTCCACAGTGTAGTATCCATGATCTATGTAGTACCCTGTTTGATGAAGTTCCTATAGCAGGTCTGTGTTTCTAATCCTGTTTCTCTCATAGAACACATACCAAGACGACTTGAAACTGTCATTTTCAATATTTTATTGTAAAATAGGCCATCATGTAAATCTTTCATTCAACTTTCAAACAAACTTCCATATGAAAAAGAAAAAACAGAGTTACTCTTATTCGATGTTTTGTACCATACGCAATCCAACCTCAAGTAAACCCCACTACTACTTTACACAGATACCATGAATCTATAATATCAAACATAAAATTGAAACAGAGAAAGCACAGACACCAGAAACGGTCTCCTCAAAGCATCGATTTTTGGCATGGTGTGCAGTGAAAACGTGAACTTTATGCCCATGGGATACAAGTTCAACAGCCACATCAATTAGTCTTTCAGCTCCACCTACACATCAAATTCATAAATACAGCCTTCAACAACAATAGAAAGAAGTAGAAATTACCTATGCCCAGAAAATAATAGCAACGTTCAACTTTCAGCTTCATTTCTTCGCCATTTTCAGCTCTCCTCCAATTCTCTGTATTCTAATCAAAGTCTCAAACGATAAGCTTTTTCTGCTAATTGGGCCAAAACTGGGTCGGTTATGGCCCAACATTTGTAATATAAAGTATTGGGTTCTGGCCGAGTTCGATATGATCCGACCCATTTCAGTTTCGGACCAAAAACAGGTCGTGATCTTTCTCAGTTCTCATATATCGATAATATTGACGAAATATCGAGGATATTATCGTTTTTTCGAATCACGGATATTTCGAAACGTATCCATGCACATATCGTATAAATATCGAGAATATCGACGATAATATC